TTTTGGCCATTATAAATGTCATTGATCTCTAATCCATTTCACCTGTGCTGCCTGCGAGTTAGCATGTATGCACAAGAATAAAGAACTTGGATCCTTCCCCAATCTTAAAGGCTATTGACCATTTCTACAATTATTTGTAACAGCAATTTATTTGTTTGCTAGCTAGCCTAGAAGTATTTAATTCGGAATTGGGAGTTCGATCTATATTATATTTAATCTGCTCTAAGCTGTTGGTCCAGTCAAGCTGCATTAGGACTTTGTAGAATCTGTCTTATTGATTGGAGGATTTCTTAGATTTAACACAGAACGTCACCGTGAATTAAGATTCAGTCCTTTTTAAGGTGGTGAACACTATTGTTGTACAGAGGGTTACGCTTTACACATTTGGTAAGTTCAGTTATGTTTGTCATGCTTCCCAAAGTTAATTTAACATGCACCTAACAGGATGAAATCTTTTGCTTTGTGTTAATAGAGATACTAACTATAATATATTGCTTTGCAAAGAAAATAAATAAATCAATGAAAATATTAAGTAATGATAATAATAATGAATATGAGGAACATAGGCTTAATTTTGCTTGTTGTGTCCTAGCTCATTTAAAAAAATTATATAATTTGTAAGTTCATTTTAGATTTTGAGATTTAATTCTTAAAAATTGTACGCATTAGTGTGGGTTTAAATTTGTTTTATTTTGTGATTTTTTTTAATTATATGTTCAAGACACTGTAAATGTACTTTTATATTCATGAATTGTAAAAAGTTGATGGCTATATAGACATATTAGCTGAAAGTGTAAGAAACATAGAAACTATACCCAAACATTATGTTACATGAAGTTTGTTTTGGTCCGATTCTATGTGACCTTGAGTTTTATTTGTTGTCCAGTGTATTTAGCCTAATTCTGGTGCTTATTTTCACATAAAAAGAGACGTATATCAATATTGGCATAACTGGCTTTGTTAATGAAAAAAATGAAATGAATTTAAAGGTTTCAATGGAAGTTAAAAGTCTGTGGTTAATACAGAGATTAAGTGAATAGTGTGTAAGTTATAGTTGGTTCTTTTATTTTGTACACTTTAAGTAATGTGGAAAATGTAAGCAGAAAAATGCTTGCTTAAATTAAAATCCCCCCCCCCCCCCCCCCCAAAAAAAAGAAGAAAAGTTGTAATGGAATTTTTAGATAGTTTTGAGTTTTACAACACACAACAAAATTTTACAGAAAGACTTTATTTGATTTCCATTAATATGTGAATAGCAAGTCTTTTCTTAATAGGTTGATGAGAGTGAAATGTGTGTTAAAAAATGAAATGTGTTATTGGTAAAAATTGAAGTCAGATTTTATCTTGTGGCAATTAAAGTAATGCTTTTAAGAAAATTTGCTGCATGAATTACAAAAGGCCTTTCAAAATCTGCCGGTACCCTGTACTTTTAACCGGCTGAAATCAAGATTGTATTGGCCAAAATACATGTATTCGATTGAGGAAAATTGAATAACATATTTAATTAAAATTGCTTCCACAAGGTACCTCCTACTTTTGTAAAAGTACCACCTGTTTCTAATCTTTTTGAAAGCCTTAGTTACGAAGTATAGTGTTAAACATCAAGAACTTTACATTACAGATTCTGAGTAGCACAGCATACCAATAAATTTAGTTTGGTTTTGAGGAAGTAAATCCCTCTAATAAGGAATGATAACTCCTGAAATAAGCATTCATACTATCTCTGGATCAAGTTGGTAGAGATTTTATATTTTGCTACTCAAAAATTACTTGCAAGAGTACTTCCTGTCATAAAAGGTATTGAATCCTTCCAATATACATGTACCATAAAAATGGGGGGGGGGGGGGGGGGGGCAATGTTTATTAAATAACATAAAATCTCTGAGATTGGATATATTGCAAAGAGTACATGTGTAGATACAAGTTATTTGCACCACTTAGATGTATTAAAAAAAACCCCAGAAGATTTTTAAAGGATCAAGTTAAAAATCCAAACATATGCAAAAGATATGCGGCCATTTTTCAAATGTATGGATCCCTTTCATTTTTATTTTCCATGAAATGATATTAATTGCTAAATTTTTAATTTCAGTAGCTTCAACTAGAAAATGCAACATTATACATTTATTGCCTGATCGTGAGGGAAACATGAAGATTTATTCAGCCAAGAAAAATATTGTTTCCCGAGTGCTTCGCCTGAGGGGAATATGATTTTTCTTGGCTAAATAAATCTTTATGTTTCCTGAACATTTATGCTATAAATTGTTTATTATACCGAAACATGCAAAGCCTTTAAAATATAAACACAAACTTTTAAATTCGGCACTGCTCTTAAATTCACTTTCAGTTTTAAAGTAAGTTATCGAAACATTTTACAGAAGTTCCTTGGACACTTCACATTCTGATTTTTTAAAAATCCATATTGAAAAGAAGACCGCCAATTTTGTAATTACATTCAGCACTACTATTGTAATATTGTAAAAGTAAGGTCTGCTGCTCTCGGGAGTTTATAATGTTCAACGAACAATAAGTATTATGGGAATATGCACGAGGTATCTGAAGAGGTTGAATATGATGAAAACCATGACAGCGACAAGGAAATATGAAGTTTTATTGCCCTTATCATGCGACAAACTAGAACCAATCAGATAGCGTTTTGTGTAGAATAATTATAATAAGGTATAATAATGATTTTTATATATAATAGTAAGAAAAGAATTTTTTGACTCTCCTATAAAATCTGACCATTTATTTATGATCCATTGTGACATATAAAACAGCATGGCTGCTGTAATTTCTAAAACACACTTTATTTAGTAGACTTTTTTATGAGTCAGTTGACTTCATTACTGAAGAATTAACTACAAAGTTGAATTAACCTTGTTTTTGTTCAACATTCTTTCAGTATTTGGATAAGTACATTTTTTGTGTGTACACTGAAGCTATGATAATGCATTGCATTTTTCTGTAAATTTGTGTAAGGCTTACACATATTAGGCAGGATTCTTTCTCAATATCTCTGTATGATCAGAGATGAACTTGCAGTTATCAAAGGCCAAAGTAATTGCTTGTGTTGATAAATTGTAAAAAAAAAAATAGTTGTTTTCATCAACTTGTTTTGCATGAAAGTGGCTTTCTCCAGAAATATCACACATCCCACTGACATTCCTCTGTAATACCCTGCAGAACTTTTTACCAACTTATCACATGAGAATCTTTATCTCCCCCGATGATAGTACTTTTTCCTTCCCCTTAATGCCTGATCATTTGCAGATTCCGTTGTGCATTTGGTAGCATTTTTTCCTGATTTATTATTTGTCTTATCACTACCTACAGGTCCATTACTCTCTTTCAAATAATAAAAATCTTGACAGAAAGCATGCATTACAAAAAACAATGGCTCTTATCAATTTTTCTTGGCAAGGTGGATTAGAGGACACATCTGTTGAGTGGTGTACCTGGGTGAAAATTAAGCAGATTTCTAATCACCTTATTGAACTGGTATTAGTGGTATATATAAAGCTGTACCAGTAAATTGGTAAATTAATAATCAAGGGGTGAGGTTTTAGCCTGGGTTTCACCTTGCAGTTGCTAAGCATAATTTTGAGGAGAGGACTTGCATAGAAATTTTCATTAACACCTGGAGGTTTGAATTGCAATATTTTGAATTTGCAATATTTTTTAACTTGAAATTATTTTCAGTGTTGAATTACTTTTGTATTAAATGCAGAATTAAAGTTAAGATTTGTAGTATATATATATAGTTTACATTTCTTTTTGTAAAAAAGAAATCATGTTAATAATAAAAAAAAATTCTTACAGAAGCTGTGAAAGAAAGTTGCATCTTTGATCATGAAGAAGAACTCGGAAGTGTATAGAAAAGGTACGGTATTTAAATTGTAATAATTTTGTATCGTTTTTCAGTTTGAAAATCACCGTTAATATTTACATTTTCTGCTCAAGTATTCATATAAGACATTTAAATTTGCAAAGACATTTAAAAAATCAGATTATAAAGATAGATAATTGGATAAAAAAAAATTAATGACACATACGCAATGTACAGGTGGAACAGAATTTCTTTTATCACATTGTTTCTGACGTCAAATTGAACTACCATGAGTTTAAAAGACGTGATATATTGGCTCCGTTTGAAAAAGTGTATTGAGTGATTTTTATGCTTTAGCACCAGACCATACATATTAGACTGATCAATAGACAGGTTCATTGTGTATTGCTATGGGGAGAGCTCTGAAGGCAATATACACCAGGTAGAATTTGGCTCTCTCAGCATTTGCATGCCCTTGGTGGTAGTGGCAGCTATAGGTTAAAATCTGAAATTTCATAATGCTTTTGGAGTTTATGAATTTCAAAGGTTTCTCTGGGCTTCAGAAAGGTGAGTTTTTGATGGATTTTAATGTATTTTATGATAAATAATCAATAAATGTTCACAGCCACTATAGATTTCTTGCATTGTTCAGGATGACCTTGGAATGTAAGATTCAAGAACATTTTGAAAATATAAAGCTTTCAAGAAAATTTTGGGGGATGATAACTGTGGATAAAGAAACCATTGTAAAGTGGTTGCTTGGCTCTCATTGTTTGATCAGGTGGTTGACTTTTCTGTCAGAAACAAACAATAGCATCTGTTATAGTTGCTCTGCATCCCCGTGATCAGGAAGGAAGACGTTATTATACGCAATTACTCTCAATACTTCTACTATTCTCCATTCCATCCAAGAGATTCATATCTGTCAATTTTTGCACTCAGGACATTTTATAAATTGTGTAATTTGTAGCTGGGACAAAGATAAAAGTTGTCCATTTGAAAAGAATTGATACATTGACATGTATTTGCAGAAATATTAAGTTTTTTTTATAATTTGGATATTTGGCTGCTGAGAATTGTTTCTCCTTTATGGACAGGTTAATGCACGTTTTACATAGAACTGATTGAATTTTCAAGAGAAGAATTCTATATGTGCTGGGAACACCTATAAATAGCTGCAGCTATTGATATATCCCAGGCACTGTGCTTCAGTGTAGTCGTCAGTCGTGTTCTCCTTTTGTGGTGAAGCTGGCAACAGTGTGTATCGCTTATTTCAAATCAATGAGCTTGGCTTCCCTTCAGTATTAGTTTTACATTGAATTAAGGTACAACCAGGACTGTTTTTCATTCATTAATAATGTGAGTATAAACTTGTGTATCTGTTTAGTTTTCAAGAATTAACTGATTTTTCTTAGCCATAACTTGTCTATTGATTATGGTGTTGTATTCAGGTTCTTTCACAGGGAGTATTCAAAAGATGCCTGTTTTCCAAGAAGAATTGATACATATCCAAAGATATTCTCTTTCCTTTCATGCTGAATGACAAAAGCACTTGGCTGTCTGATTTGATTTATTTCAGTACCATCTTCTGAAGAAATTATGCCTCCGAATCAGAATTTGGAAACCCAAATCAATGGCAATGCTGTGAACGGCAAACTGTATCTCCGTAATGGATCCCTTAACAATAATCCAGAGGGAAAACTGGCTGTTCTAGACAAAAATGGGGAAAAAGATCACTGTAATTTACAGAAGAGGGTGGGGCTGCTATCTGGTGTATGCCTTATAGTGGGAACTATGATAGGTAAGTACTGATATTGTTACTATAGTGATATGGAATGGGTATTAAAGTGTACGTCATGAGATAAACACAGGATTCTATTAAAATGTTTTCCTCTCTGACTCGAGTTTCTATTACTGTTATAATATCCTTTTACTTATTGATATTTATAAAAAATATTTATTCTGAAATAAGTACTGATATTGCTTTACAAATGCTGAATTCCATGATAAATTTGATATCAAAATATTGACAGTATGAAAAATGGAAATTAATGTATGGAAGTTCTGACTTTTTTCACTCTGCAATTAATATTGCAGTAAAATATTTACATATTTAGCAGAGCACATATTTGAAAAGAATGTACAAACAAATTCCTCTTGAATTGCACATATTATAATGCAAACATTGTTTTCATGTAATAATGTTAAAGCCTTTGTCAAAATGTCATTTTTATATTTTTTATACTTGGTCTGTATCAGGCTAGTGATGCAGTGCAATGATTAGTATATGACTTCGTATTTAGCCACAGGTCAAAGCTTCAAGCCAGGCAACAAAGTAGAAATTTTCAGTATTTTTTGGCAATTGTGTGTCATGTTGAACTTAATTCACAAACATATCTTGTTTGTAAGCCATGTTTTGAAAGTCACTTTGACCTTATTTATCTAATCAGTGTGATAAGAAGTAATTTTTACCTGAGTAACAGTTTAAAGCCTTAAAAGCTTAGAATTAGACAATTCCCCCAGTTTAATTACTGTGGGATCACTTATTTTCATGGGGGTTTAATTTTCATTGTTTTCATGATATGAAGAGACCAAAGAATTCTGGTCCCACTGAATGTGAAAAGTGTAATCAAGACATCTCTACACCCCATGAAAATAAGTAATTTTACAGTACTGTAGTCTAGATGAGTTTATTTTCTTGACACCTTATTTTTGTAAGGAAGCTATTTGATATTATATACAAAACAAAATTTTCACAAATTTCAGTCATTTATACATAGATTCTTACATTACAAAAATAAATGAGAATGAAATTAGTCATTCTCATGTAATTACACAAAAATGAAGTTCTCGCAAATAAAAAGTGATTTGACCTTATATGAACTTGCTGCACTAGCTGTCGTGTGCTGACGACCTTACAGTAAATTTCACCTTTGTAATCACTCTTTTCAGTGTAAACTGAACTTTGTATTACAGGATCAGGAATCTTCATATCTCCGAAGGGTGTGTTAGCAGGAACGGGGTCTGTGGGTCTGAGTCTGATTGTGTGGGTTGGATGTGGAATTATCAGTCTTTTTGGTAAGGTCATCTGAAAGGTTAAAGGTCAGAGAAGTTAGGTTACTTTAAACCTTTTTTATATGAATAGGACATTGTAAATTAAAATTATTATATTTGCATAGACACATATATGTATAGCTTATGTATTTCTTGTATATGTATATTTATATGCTATATACTATCAGTTACCCATGTACTTTGCATGCTTTATAGGTAAGTTTATATATACTGGTGTTTGGAAATGATTGGTTTTAACATTGCTCTCAATAAAAATAATCAGGATTTAGAGTGAATCAAAATTCTGGAAAAAATTACATAATCAAGAAATTATATCCAAAATTAAAAAAAAAAAACTTGTTTGTTTGCATGGGGATGTTTTCTTGACTCCCCACCATAAAATGTTTTAAAACATGTTTTCTTGCACACAGGTCAACTAGAACCCCCAGAGGATTGAGCAAGATGAAGGAGCCTCCTTAGAGGAAAGATGTAATACCCCAAGACCTGGTGTACTATAGACGCAATCAGTCTGTTTTTGCTTAAAGTGAAATGAAAACTGATTCAGGGCTGGTATATGTGTATTTCAATATAGGGTATTTATTTGGCCAATGAATTGAAAGTCTAGCACTTTTTTTCTGTATCTAGGATTATCAAATAAAAGGGATGGGTCACTAAAATTGTTTTGTTTAGTTGCATGCATGCTTATGTATTTTAACTCTGCAAACAAAGGGAATGCTTGAAGAAACCATAGTAACAATCCACCTGAATCAGTTATTGGCCCTCGTCATTATTTCTCTTTCCCTTTTTTTCAGGGAAAGGGGCTGTTCCAAAAATTTTAATCAGAAGGAGGGATAAACATGGCTTTTCGAAATATATTTAGAGAAAGGGGAGATCAAATTTCGGAAATTTTGCCCTGGCAACATATTCCTGTCTGTTCCACACGAGGGTGCAACTTTGTGAGCCTTTCCGAGTATAATGAAAATTATTCTCGTTAAGGGGCAATGAACAAGCTTGCATCCTCCTCCAAGATTGCCCCTTGGTCTGTATAACAAGGCTGGTCTCGGGTCCTGACTTAGTTTATCCACTGAGTGGTAGAATGATCAGTTACTGAATGCATGAGACAGAGAAATACCTGGGACATGAGTAACCAGCCTTCAGGTTACTCCAGTCCCAGAAGTCAACACTGTAGTCATTTGCCAGTTTCAGTTTTTATTCATTTTATTTTAGTTTTTTTTTTCAATCAATGCTTAATTTAGTTCCATTTAATATTTTGACCTTTTTCTGAACAGTACTAGTGCTTTATTCTTACAGAAGGTTTTTTTCTGTGAAAGAATCTATAAATTAATCCTAGCTGATAATTGAAATTGTCTTTCCTGATAATATGAAGGGCTTCACTCTGTGCTCTTATTTGTAAAACTTAAGATACTAGGCCTATAGCTCAGGGTAAGAATTATGTAGAATAAAAAGTCCAAGGTTCTTGCTTTGAAAGATTTTTGTTTGCAAGATGAATGCATGCTTTGTAAATGTCAAAATACCCACGCTAATTGTGATGTACCGAATGTTTAATCAAACACTGCCATTCTTTTGTAATCTTGGCCTTTCTTAAAAGATTGAAATCATTGCCATGTCAAGTTAAAAGAGAGTTTTTTTAATTGCAAAGGAAAGATATTAGAATTGTTTATTCTACATTGATTAACCTGGGTTATAGGTCTTGGTGTGAGTATACCTTTAATCATCACCAAAACAATTGTAGAATGTTTTATTTTCTAGCCTCTTATACTCTGCTTTGAGTGTTAATTGTTTTATACTGGTAGAAATTAGTAAGTTTTGTAGCCAAAATATGTAGATATTTCTAAATTTAATTTTTTTTGTACTTATAAAAAATTATTATTCACTATGTACTGTAGGGAAACCTAGTAATTTTATGAAACTGGTACATGACCTTAATTAGCAAGATTGCAGTATATAATCTCTCATCTTCATATCATTGCTTGATGCACCTTATCATTCTTAAGCCAACCATTACTATACATTTTATCTGTTGTGATGCAATTTCTTTCAATGACTTAATCATTTGTGGTTTTTAAAATCTTTGATTATCTAACAATAAAAGGTATTAGTAGCAAGAATTAGGCCATTAAATAACTAGTTTTTATAATAGATTTTGGCTATACGTAATCACATTATGTAATAATATAGACTTTTTAAAAAGTTATTTCAATGCATTCAAAATTTGGATGACTTTGATTGTGTAGATATTGATTTTTCTTGATTGTGTGCATGGTAGTTGGAAAACCCACTGATTTCTTTTGCTTCTAAATCTATTATTTTTAATACCGATGTTGACAGAAATGTTTGCTTATTACATGTACTGAATTATTAACAGCATTTTTGTATTTTATCGATAAATTGCCTGACCAATTGGATTCACCAAATTTACCGCATGCAACATAAATTTGATACTCGAACGAGTACTGAAATGCTATCCTTTAAAGACGCATCAAACACTGGAACGCTATCATTCGTGTCATGCAACTATATTCAACTATTTGTACAAAAGCGATGAATTTCGAAACATGGAAACTGATCATTCTGTCACCTTAGTGCATCATCGGATAATCACTTTCATAGCATGTAAATATTTGATGATGATTCAAATTTGATTTACTCTGGTAATGTAATCCATGAAAGGGAAGGTGGATGCGATAATCACAAATACCTCATTAGTTTGAAAAAAGGGGGATGGGTGGGTTGGTGTTAAAATGGGAGATTGACTTGAAAACTGTGTGTATGAGTGTGATTTTCTGATGGTACACATCCCCAAGTGCTAGCAGGTGCTGACTTGCCCTCCTGTGTGCATGGAGAGACATTGCAGCATTGTGCTGATGTAGGCGATACAGTTTAGTGCCAGTTAGCCCTCCATTGGTCTGATTTGGAGAGACCATCTGGCACATTTCCAAAAGTTTTGCCCAAACTGAGGCTGATGATGTCACAAACACCAAAATGTTCTTTGTTATTTGCAGACATAAAGTACATGTTTGAATTAAGATTATTTTTTTGAACATCTAAAGTGTTTCCTCCTGCATCATGCTCATTTTCATTGTTCATTCATCAGCTTCAGTCTTGATACCATCCACATAGGTTAGGAGTATAGGTGCCATTTTGCCCTCCCGGACATCTTGGAGAGACAAAAATGTCACCTCAAACTATTCACCCTTTGGTCTTTTTCCTTTTATCCTTTAAAACATCTTTGGGTGTAAGGATAAGTAGGCCAGTTAATCCTCCACAAAAAACTTTCTGGAACAGTTCCTTTTAAAGCTGCAGATGATGAGGAAAGCAGACGCTAAGCCATGAAGCAATACCAACGTCAAATGTTTTATTGAGAAATATGAAATGTCTTCAATTATGTTCCAGGGAGGGCTGTTTCCAGAAAGGCCTTTACGGAGAGACGTCCATGGCACATTAGTTTAAAATTCTATAGAGAGACCATATAGATCCTCCCGGACATCTTGGAGTGACGCATATGGTTTCATATGTTAACTCTCCTGTAAAACATCCACAGATTTGATAATTTTTTTGTACTTACTAAACTTGAAAATCAGAGGAATTTATATTTAAAAAAAAAAAATTTGGCATTCAAAAGAATTTCTTGTAATATTTGGAAAAGCAAATATTTTATTATTTAGACTAAAATCTTGTCCGAGACAAAACAAAAATGCCTCTTGAATCTTGTATATGTCATAAAAGTTAAACATATATATTTAAAAAGAAAAAAAAAAATTGAACAAAATGCAAGGATTTTGCAGGAAGTGAGTTAACTTGTTAGGGCTTGCTTGTCATTTAGTCCTCCACACAACAATATGCTAGCATATTGGAGAGACTCAGATGACAAGCTTTGTTTCGGCAGTAGGTGAGCTTTGATCATGTGCCAGGATGCCCTCCGCATGGACTTTGGTTATGGAACAGCCCTAATACTCCCACTGTGCTAATATCACTCAGTCTCAAGCATTCTGTTTCCAATATGTCACATTTTGTTCTGTTTCACAGCTTATTTTGTTTAGTCTAATTCACAAAAGATAATTGAAGCACTTTCATCATTCCCATTTTTAACACAGTCAGATAATGACTTACTGGGTATTACACATGTACTTTGATATACACATGATACATAGTAGTTTTGTTTAGAAAATATTCTGTTTAGCCTTTCATTCTAATGAGCTAATCAAAGACTATCAAATACATTGCATTTACTTGTCATAAAACTACACATATATCTATAAGAAACATGTAGATATATTAAATCTACATTTATTTATCTCAGATATTCAAAATTTCATTCTTGCACTCAGTCTAACTGGAGGCCTTGGTTTGATTTTCTAAAACAACTGGTGTAAGGGGAAAAAAACACACACACCTTCGCATACTCACAGGTGAAAACAGATTTATACATATACAAAAATATATGAACCAAAAAACAATTGTTCCAAGTAATCATCTGGCCACATATTTTATCTTTCAGGTGCTCTCTCCTATGCTGAACTTGGAACGTTAATAACCAAATCAGGAGCAGAATATGCTTATCTACACGAGGCATTTGGACCCTTCCATAAGACCCTGGGACCCGTTCCAGCTTTCCTCTTTGCCTGGACATCAGTCCTGATTCTGAAGCCTGCACTGTTTGGGGTGGTGTCTATGAGTTTTGCTCTGTACACCACAGAACCATTCTTTGAGTGCGGGCCACCAGATGTCCTTGTCAAAATAGTCGCCATTGTGTGTCTCTGTACGTCATCAAAACAATACATAGAAAAATCATTTCCTCATAGATTAAGATGAAATTATTGGTTGTGCATTGATGCCAGAAAATTTTATGTAAATCTAAATTATTTTTTATACAGTTTTTGTATCAGCTGTCAATTGCTATAGTGTAAAGCTGGCAACGAAAGTTCAGAATGTTTTCACAGTGGCCAAGTTGGTTGCTATAGCTGTCATCACCATAGGAGGATTTGTTTACATGGGGAAAGGTAAAATTAAATTTTGGTACGCTACTGAAAAAAAAAATGCAACTAACTTTATCACATTTTCAACAGTGAATTCATGAAAAAGTGAAATTTTTTCACAGTGTATACTGGAGCAGATCAAAGATCTAATTTTGACTAGATTGCAGTGTGTAAAAATATCAAAATAATACTTTCTACTGTATGAAACAATATAAAGGTAATATTTTCTCACAGTGTCAAAAAAAAATCAAAATTGTTGCAAAACTTTTTCTTTTCCTTCATGAAGAGTATTGTGGAAAAATACTCCCTAGCTTATCTTAAGGTAGCTAGAGCAAATAAACCATCCTGACTGAGACTAAAACTGCTGTTTTCAATAAACTGCTGTTAGAATCCATGTTTAGCAATTGCTTAGCTATGATGTCTAACAACCACTCAACTATGAGCCTACAACACTTTCAAAAAGACAGAGGCAAAGAGAAAATCAAAGAAAATGTAATATACAGAAAATTCAAGTTTTGTACTTCAATATGGGATTTATTTCACTCATGAGAAAGGATTTTTTTTTTCATGTTTTCACTCATGCTCAGCACTCCTGAAAAAAAAAAATTCCCTCCCACTCATGAAATAAATTCCATTTCCAACTACAAAATGTTGAATATCCTTTATTTACCAATAATAGGTTTTGTTTTTTTTTTATCGTATTTACTCAGATGTTTCATGCATTTCTTCCAGGTGAAGTAGAAGAAATTAACACCGGCTTTGAGGATACTGTCCAGTCTCCTTCTCTAATAGCTCTAGCCTTTTATGATGGACTATGGGCTTATGATGGCTGGTAAATGTATAGATTTATGAATTTGACATTTTTTAGAAATAAAAAGAGAGTCTAGAATTCTTTACAGCAGGTGTTTTTATATACATTTTTCTTTACTTCAGGAACAATTTGAATTACATCACTGAAGAAATAAGAAACCCCACAAGGTAATGTACAAAAAAAAAAATAGTGCAAGAAAGACAACTCTTGTAATAATTTTAGTTGAAAATGTATTGAGCTTAACAAATGTAGACTACATCAAGATGCTTATATTTGTGTACTTTTTCCTGATTCACTGAACAAGTTGGCTCAGGAACTGAAAAAAAAATCAAAAGGAGAATAAGAATCTGGACCTTTTATTTGGCTATAATATTAGTGATTTCAGGAATCTGCCCCTCAGCCATTATGATTGGTATTTTATTTGGCTGTAATGTACGTATTGTTTATGATTTCAAGAACCTCCTCCTAGCTATTTTGACTGTTGGCCATTATGATTTGTATTTTAAGTGATTATAATGTGTGTGATTTCAGGAACCTGCCCTTGGTCATTATGATTTATATTTGTTTGTGATTACAGGAACCTGCCCTTGGCCATTATGATTGGTATTTTATTTGACTGTAATGTATTGTTTATGATTTCAGGAACCTCCTTCTAGCTATTTTGACTGTTGGCCATTATGATTTGTATTTTAAGTGGCTATAATGTTTGTGATTACAGGAACCTGCCCTTGGCCATTATGATTGGGATTCCTCTGGTTACTTTATGCTACCTCCTCACTAACCTTTCCTACTACACTGTAATGACCAGGGCAGAACTGCTCCGCTCCACTGCTGTCGCTGCTGTAAGTTAACACCTGGCCCAGACCTATCTTCTCAGTTGCCTATGAATTGGTGAAACAAAATTCATTGTGGTATTAAAAAGTATTTGATATCATTAGATAATTTTCGTCAGTAAAATATTTTCGATTTAACTGCTCTACAATTAACCTTGACCCTTCATCTCACTGTCTGGAAAAATTATGAATTTTTTTTTTAGAAAATTTTCTTTTAATACAGATATTAAAAAGCATTCAAATTACTTTCATAGTTGATTGAGAAGACTGTAACTTACATAAAAGAAAACTTTTATATACATACATAAAGTTTTTTGTTATTTTGCAGACCTGGGGAGATAGAGTCCTGGGTGGTGCTGCAGTTCTTATACCTATATTTGTGGCCATGTCCACATTTGGTGCTGCCAATGGCTCCTGCTTTACGGGTGGAAGGTAATATAATTTGGAAAGATTGTAATCAAAGACAGACATGTAATTTATTCTTTAAAGTGTGTTAATTTGTTAAGAATTTAATGCCTCAAAAAGTATGATTGGTTTAAATTTTTAGGACTTTAAATTTTTTCATTCATGCAGATTGAAGATTCTACTGACATTTTCTTATTTTGAATCATTCAGTTTCTACCAAGTTGAATGAGATGATATTTTTGTTTTGGTTTTGCTTTGTAGACTGACATTTGTAGCTGCTAGGGAGGGACATCTACCAAAGGTCCTGTCCTATGTCCATATAAAGAAATTCACTCCTTTACCCTCTCTCATGGTTTCTGTAAGATTTTTTTTTTTTTAGTATTTTAAAAAATGAAATTAAATAATGAAATGTGCAAATTAATTTTTTTTTTGAAAAACAAACATTTACATATGTATCTCCACAAAAAAAACCCCAAGAAAACAAACAAAACAAAAAACTTCTAAACATTTTCATTGTAGATTAATTAACACATGGTAATATGAAAACTTAAAAGTTCTATATTTGGTGTAGACTAATTGGTGTTTTTCCCCTGGTATGGATGATTCTGTATAATTGCAGACTTTCCTGGCAGCTGTTATGGTGCTGATGGGAGACATTTTTGCCCTTATTGATTTCTTCAGCTTCACAGCCTGGTTGTTTTATGGCAGTACAATGGCAGCATTACTGGTGTTGAGATACACCAAGAGGAATGCAAAAAGACCTTACAAGGTAGACGGAAATACTGGGAACTATAGGCTATAGTTATGTATGATTCCAGTATGCAGGGCCTGAAAAAGTTAAAAATTTTTTACACAGTTGTATGTTAAATCACATGATAGCATGTAATCATTTCATTTATTAATGTTGTTTTGGAACGCTTGTTGAAAAGAGACTTATTTTGATAAATGATAACTGAAGATTTATATAAAGGCATGAGGAGTACTACACAGTAACACTGTATATTGGATTATTGTTATAAATCACTAGTTCATTTAGAAATTAAGTGATATGCCCAGTTTGTGACAGAACCATTGCTTCAGTATATGATTTAGGCGCTAAAATGATGCACTTGTTTAGGATGACAAACATTTGTGTTTAAGAGACAATGCATGGCAAATATAGAAACAATGCATGGCAAATATATGCTGTATTTAATTATACTGAATACTCAGCTCCACCCCTATCATATGACACTGTTAACAGTTTTGTGATTTTGCAGGTGCCCATTATTTTGCCAATCACAGTACTCTGTGTGTCTGTGTATCTTGTGATAGCCCCCATTGTCAACGATCCTAGGATTGAGTTCCTGTATGCTTTCATCTTTGTCATTAGCGGTTTGATCTTCTATGTTCCATTTGTGGTGATGAAGAAGTCACTTCCTTACACAGGTAAGCTTTTGATTTTCATGAAATCCTTCCTAAAATAATGGTCTTTTATTGCTAAATTATCAGAGGGGGTCTTTCTTTGCAATGTGTCTTGGCTATTTCCTTAGCATTAATCTAATATATTGAAGTGCAATTAAGTAATGATGATTTTCCAAAAGAAGTCTGAATTACGATTGAAATGCAAACAATTTCAGCATACCACACATAAAAATTGACTGAAATTAATTGCCTCTTAAATTGACAGTTTTAATAGAACAAGTCATTAAACCCAGTAAGAGTTATCTTTCTTATCAGATGGTCAATGAACCTTAAGATTTTTATGTAAAACCAACATAATAAATTAATTCAAAAATGTATTTCACTTTTACAGAGACTGTGACTAAATTCATTCAGCTGATTTTGTGGTGTGCCCCTAGCCGATATGAATCTGAACTTGTTGGAGACTGATGAACGCCATTAATGCATTTAGATACTATTTAACAAAATTCTAGCTGTGATATTGTGTTATATATAAGACATTTATATTTACTTCATATGCATTAATCATGTTATAAGTTCACAAAGCAGCATTCAAAGAAAATATATTTATTTTAATGTTAAAAAAATCTTGTTAGTGAATATAATATTTTTTTTTTCTTATTTATTTGTGAACATGAGGGGTGAAAAAATAATTTCCATTATTGAATGTAGCTAAATATTTATTTATGTTAGACCTTTCATGTACTGTTATGATTCTTATAGTTAATAATATTGCAAATAGAATTCATGTAGATGTATATAAAACTAGACTGCTATGGCTTACTTCAAACCATGAATGTTGGAATGACATAGGTTATTTTGGTTTTTATGTAGTTAGTTTTCATTCTTTGGTAATTTTTACATTCCAGGGAAAAAAAATACCCAGAAACTTAACCTGCATTTAGGATTCTTTCATTCTTCTCATATACATATATAATTTTTGGATTATTTGTTTGTTTGTTTGTTTTGATATTTTGTCCTCCATTTTTTCAGTTCTTCAAGGTGTTCATGTATTACTAGGTGTGCCAAATATTACAGCCTTTTGTAATTCAGCATTGCAGATTGTTCAAATTCTTGTTACTCCTGATAGAAGCATTTTTTAACAATACTGTGTTGCAGAATGGTGTAAATATTATATACTATGTATATATGTATAAATCAAGCCGGCTTTCTGAAATCAATAAGCACAGAGTGGTTTTTGTTTGTATTTTACATCTGTTTTTTTGCTTGGCTTTGAAATGTCTGTATTTTAAAGTATCAGTGCATTTATGTTTCTCTCTTTCTGAACCCACCAAGAAGTATGTTAATTCTTATGTTGTTGAAGTTTCCGTTGATGTGGTGACTGAAGATTAAGCAATATTTCCCAGTCTCCTGTTTAACATTGTTTGTGTACTTTCCCATTTGTCTTATGATTACAATTCCCAAACCATGAGATTCTTAATTACACACCATTTATGTGATATGTCATTGGTCATGTACAGTGTCCTTGATTATATTTACATATTGTTTAACAATGTATTTATGTATATATGTAAAATACCTATATATTGGGAATTATCCCACAAGAAACAGCATTCAGGGTTTTATAAGTATTAATTATTTATATATCATTGTAAAGTCTATGAAATGACATTAAAATTGAACACAGGCCAATTCCTAAGTAGAATTTATTATATTTATGGAATATTATTTTTATTTATAATGTTCATTCATAACCAGGGCAGGGTGTCAAATGTAGTGAAAATGGACATAGTTGCTTGCTTTTGTTACAAGGATCCTGGGACGAGTTGTGACAGTATTTCATGGTCATTATAAGCATTATTTGTTGGTGAGCGTTTTGTGTTCTGATTGATTGTTGGCTTATATGGTAACATATTTATGCAAAAAAAGTGTAAATACACGGATCTCAATAAATCATACTGCAGACCTATGAATTCATCTCCTCTGTTTTTGCTATAGCCAGTTGATTATTTCATTTTAGAATTAAGGAAGCTCTAAACTCAGCTCATTGAAGAGTTCTACTTCCATGGTATTTTTGTGCACTTAAAGAGATATTTGACCATTGATGTAAAATGGCATAAACGGACATCCAACAGTAAATGACACAATATGAGATAAAGAATTCGTAAAACATTATATAAGACCAAGATAAAGTAATTAAAACATAACTGGCACATATTTTCCCCATTTGAGTAAACAACAGTGGTTCCTGTTCACTAATACTAGAACTTCAATGTCTGAACATTTTCCCTGGAGAAATATAGCAGGCACCCTATCTTCAAAATGAACTAGATAAACTTGGTATGTACACCTTTTAGATGATGCAATTTTCTCAAATCCAAAAATATTTTTCATTAGTGTGTAGAGCTTCCTTAATGTGTGATTAGACTCTGATTAAGGGGACTTTTTTCTGAATTGTTTGGAGGGTTGCATGGGGACACCTCCCTCCCTCCCCCCTTTTTTTTTTTTTACCTCACCCCACTTCTCCATTGTTCCCCTCATCTCTTCCCCTTTCCCCCCAACTACCGTTTGACTCCCACCTCCCATTTCCTTTCCATGAATTCTTTATCAATGTCTATTGCTGTCTAAATATAGACATACATGTACTTCTCAAACTGTCAGACTTCTGACATTTAAACAAGCAGAATTTATACAGAGTTCTTTTAAGTAATTCCACGATGAATACTTGATCATTGTAAACATACTGTCGATGTCCAACATTTAAGTTTAATTTAAGGACTTGAGAAAAAATCGGAATTTTACTGACTCCTTTCGGGGGGTTTGGTGTTAAATTGTAAAGATTTTTATACAAATATATTTTACATTTTCATTTCTCCCTGTTATAGATCTTACACAAGCGTAACGTGGCACGAATACGCCACTATATAAGATCTATATTAATGCAATCATTCACATTTATTTCATGTATATTTTCATTTTAAAGATTTTTTGAATAAAAAACGATGATTCACAATACATGTCACAGTGACACTACAGAAGATCCAAAAACTTTTTGGGATCAATCATCTCACAAACTGCCCCGGTTAAGAAAAAGAAACTTGCTTACCAGAAATTCTTAGCTCATGCACATTACAAAAAAAAAAAAAAAAAAAAAAAAAAAAAAAGAATCAATTATAATTTTTCTATATCTTTTTTTCACAGTAATATTGTACAATGTAGAAGTTTGGGCTATAAGGACCGTGGGTATCGGCCTGGGAAGCTCAGTGGTAGAGCACATAACTCGTAATACAGGGGTCCCTGGTTCGATTCCCGGTCCAGTCTTATATTTTCTTTATGCATTCCTCTTTTCCTACTACACTTCTGTCGATATTCGCGTTTCTCATTTAATTCTCTTACTTCATTCTATTCAATTTAACAATCTCCAATGTCATTGAAAGGTTGTTCAGTGTTGCTCTCAAAAAAAAAAAAATCCTATTGCGGGGTGGGGGTGGGGAGGGTAGGTTCCAGCTTCTTTCTTTCAGTACCAAATTTTATTCATACACTACTACAATATTAATGCCCTTATTTGACTATACTGCAAAAAAAGTTCAACATTTTCACATCTACTGTTAATTACACTGATTGTTTAAATTATTTGATATCGATATCCAGGAGTAAGCGGAACAAAATGTTAACTTTTTTTATTGTCTCTCTGGTACAAGTCATTCACACAATAGATATAATTGTTATCTGTAAATACAATCACTTTTTTTTTGGACTCCCACTTAAAGAAGATGAGCGAACAAGGCGAGCAAAATGTGCGACAAATATGAAAGTGAAAAATCAAATCTCAACTATGACAATTTTTTCTTTGATATTTCATTTAACATTAACGTATGCTTTATGTAAAATTTCCACAAATCGCACTGAACTATGGCGTGTAAAACGTTGCATTATTACATGTATACTTTTTTGTTATTCCTATTCAAAATTTTGTTATTCTTTTTCTAAAGCATATCATTCCTATTCCATAAAATGTGATTCCTATTCGATAATTAAGTTAATTGTTATTCGTATGCGAAAACAATGTGATTCCCATTGGATAATTTATCATTCCTATTCGATGATTTGTTATTCCAGTTCGGAAACATGTGATTCCTATTCGATAATTTTGTCATTCATTTTCGATAATTTTGTCATTCTTATTTGATAATTAAATGATTTATATTCGATAAAGTGTTATTCCTATTGATAAACATATCATTTATATTCGAAAACATGCAATTCCTTTTCGATAATCTTAACAAGATTCGAATAGGAATGATCTATTTTCGAATAGGAATAACAAGGTTATTGCATGTAAATCACAAAATTATCGAATAAAAATGTCAAAATTATCGAATAGGAATAACATTTTTTCGAATAGGAATGATATGTTTTAAAATAAGAATAATAAATTCTTAGAATAAGAATAGCAAAAAAGTATAATAATGCAACGTTTTACACGCCATACGCAACAACCTCACAAATATATCGCCCATGAATTAACTTACATATACACCAAAGAGAGCAACAATGGTCAGTCCTTCATACTAAAACAAAATTTTTCCATTGGGTCTTCTCTCCACTTTTTTAAAAAAAGATTATATTCAAAGTATGCGTACAAATATACATTCTTCGGTTAACAAAAAAAAAAAAAAAAAAAAAAAAAAAAAAAAAAAAATGGAAGCAAAGACCCACAATACCAGTACCTTAAGAATACACTTTCATGACACAATATTCGTATCTTTCCGAGAAAATTTTTGAAGTCCATTTACTGTAGTCAGGGTCATATCACAAACATGACTTACGTGCCGATTTTTTTTTATGGTTAGTGTGTTAGTATCGAAGGAAACATTGATACTCAGGAATTTTATTGCTTAAGTTCGAATTCCAAGAATATCACATATATTTTTTTAAAGTCATAGAATGTTTTTTGCCGAAAGAACTGTCCGCAGAAAAGTTTGGTTTCTTTTCTTTCAATGATAAGAACTTTACTCTAAATACTAAATTCACAAATTGAATATGACTTTTATAAATTTAAAGCTATAGGCATTTTGCACGCCTTGTTCGCCCACCTCCTTAAAAACTGTGTGTATTTACCAAAAACTCAATTAATAAATAAAGTGTAACTAAAATATACCTTGATAATATCGCGAAAGAATTTGTTGACATCAGATAGCGAGAACATAATTTCACTAGCGGAATGTTCATCAAGAGTATTAAGGTATTTCATAAAAAGTAAGTAATTATATTTGTCAGGTGATGCTTGTTGCAAAATAACGCGATAATAATTTTCTTGTGTGTTTAGGAATCTACAGTGTAGATGCAGAATTATTCCTTTCGGTTTCGGCCAATCGCAGTTGAATCCATATGAAGCATCCAGCAAATTCATCCGCACATTACGCGTAACTTTGTTTGATATAAGGTTCCTGCAATTCTTTCATACCATTTAATGTGTTCAAATCACTAAAAAGTTTATATTTTCAAAATATTGCCTTTGTAATATATATGTATCATACTTACAAAACCAATTTTTTTCTAAATGTGCACGTGGTTACAACGTGTGCTCTAGAGTCGCGGAGCCTTACGCCGTGGGCTCGAATCGAATCCAGTCCTTTGGATGAGATCGTTTAAACAGAGGTCCCGTGTAGCAGTAGGTGCTGGCACGAAAAAGATCTCTCACTGCTCAGAGGCCGTAAGTACCAAGTATAGGTCTATATTTGATGCCCTCCACCGGCAAGTGGTGGCGTCTCAATATGAGTGAAAAATTATCGAAAGGGACGTTTTAACAACAAAAAACAATCTAAATGTGCACAGGAATTTATTCATTGATTGGTTCCTGACATTGGGTAACTTTATAGAAAAATGACCACACTGTGTCATTTTTTGATACCAAAAAAAAAAAAAAACCAAAACAAAACAAAACAAAAAAAAAACGGCATGGTTTTAGTAGGAAAATTCTTGTCATGCAAATACATAGGTGTTAAATCACGCAGCCTTATGGTATGAAGTGTTCATTTTTAAAAGTTTAAAAGTTTAAATGACAAAATTAAAAGGTTATACTGTACTTTACATTAATAATACAATATGTTTTATACCCATTAAAGGAAAACCTAACGAGGCTTAATGATGTTCTATCACTATTAGAGCTAGTCCGAAATATCTGACGTTTTCCTGGCTTTTTATGCCCCCGTATCGAAGAATCGGAGGCATATAGTTTTTGCCCTGTCCGTCCGTCTGTCTGTATGTCTGTTTATCTGTTTGTCCTCAAAAACTTTAACATTGTCCATAACTTTTGATTGGTTAAAGCTATGGCTTTCATATTTCACATGTGTATTCCTTGTGACAAGACCTTTCTTTGGGTCCACCATATTTGACCTTTTGACCTTGACCTTGGAGTTTGACCTAGTTTTACAAAATTTTACCCAACTTTAACCTTGGCCATAACTTTTGAACAGTTGAAGCTAGGGCTTTCATACTTCACATGTGTAATCCTTGTGACAAGACCTTCCTTTGGATACCATCAACTTTGACCCTTTGACCTTGGAGTTTGACCTACTTTTGAAAAACTTTAACATTGGTCATAACTTTTAAACGGTTGGTGCTAAGGCTTTCATACTTGACATATGTAATCCTTGTGACAAGACCTTCCTTTGGATACCAACAACTTTGACCCTTTGACCTTGACCTTGGAGATTGACCTACTTTTGGAAAACTTTAACCTTGGCCATAACTTTTGAACAATTGATGCTAGGGCTTTCATACTTCACATATGTAATCCTTGTGACAAGTCCTTCCTTTGGATACCAACAACTTTGACCTTGACCTTGGAGTTTGACCTCCTTTTGAAAAAACTTTAACCTTGGCCATAACTTGTGAACCGTTGGAGCTAGGGCTTTCATACTTCACATATGTAATCTTTGTGACAAGACCTTCCTTTGGATACCAACAACTTTGACCTTTTGACCTTGACCTTGGAGGTTGACCTACTTTTGGAAATCTTTAACCTTGGCCATAACTTGTGAACCATTGGTGCTAAGGATTTCATACTTCACATATGTAATCCTTGTGACAAGACCTTCCTTTGGATATCAACAATTGTAATCCATTGACCTTGGAGTTTGACCTACTTTTGGAAAACTTAAACCTTGGTCATAACTTTTGAACGATTGGTGCTTCAGCTTTCATATTTCACCAGTATAATTCTTAGGCACCATTATTTTTTACCATTTGACCTTTGACCTTGATGTTTGACTTACTTTTGAAAAACTTTAACCTTTTCCATATCTATTCAATGGTTGCTGCTAGGGCTATCATATTTCACAGGTTTATTCCTCGAGATAAGACCTTACTTCGGGTACCAACATATTTGATTTGCATTTGAGAAAGTTTAACCTTTGCTATAAGTTGCCATACGGGGGCATCAGTGTTTCACAAACACATCTTGTTTTTTTATGATTTTGATATTTTACGTGACAGGGAAACGTCAGAACCGGCGCCATTACGAAAACAGGAAATTTCGCCTTCTCGATACTTGCAAATCGAATTAAATGCCGAACTCACAATTTATTGATAGCACAATGCTTCTAGTACTCACCAATATCGATGAAAAGAAAACATCACTCCATATTTCGATACAGGACTTGCAAGATTTTAAAATGCGCGGAATGGAAACAAATCTCGACAGTCAGATAAAATGTTTTCATCGGATTGTATATTTTATAGACGAATCATAAAAACAATGTTGGTGAGTACTAAAAGTATTGTACTATTGATAAGTTGTGAGTTTGACGTTTAATTCGGTTCGAAAGTATCGAAAATCAGCTCGAGAATGCCGCCTTAGGTTGGAAGCGGCGAATTCCCGTTTTCTTAATGGCACCGGTTCTGACGTTTTCCTGGCATATAAAATATCAAAATCATGAAAAAAGCCTGAAAAAAGGTGAGATATTTCGGGCTATATTAGAGCAAGAATACATCACATTTTTTGACTGATTTGTTTTATCATATTTAATAAAATAAGTTTTCACAGTTGTAATTATATAAAAAAAATCAAGATCATTTTCTTAGCTGCATTGTGTAAGAAAGAGAAATATAAATACTAGTAAACAAAAATGTATAGCTTCCATAATTATAATCTCTTTGATTTTACTCTGGGAAAATAATGTGCAACAAATAAAAAATAGTCTTTTTTTCTTTAGAAGTTATAAGAAAGGTTAACGCTTTGGAACCCTACCCAAATAAATTTGCGTGAAAAAAATGGAAGACTGATAAGAAAATTCGATCTTGTAAATATCTTTGATTTTCTATGAATAAAGTCTCAAACTTCTTCTCATAAAAATATATAGGGAAGATTATATTTTGTGAAAAAATAACACTGAACTAAATCAATATGCCTTTGACCTTCGATGTCAGGGGCACAAAAAGTGATTAGCTCAAAATCTTTACCAATGTCTTTTGTTGTTTGTTAGTGTCAACAAAGTCTTTAACAAGATGAGGCTTTTTACATAAAAAGATTTGATTGCTTAAAAAAGAGGTGTTTGGTATACCAAGAATTGACATAAGTTTATACACGGTAGTATCGTCTTTCCCTTTTCTAGTAAATCATTTTCCTATCACCTAAAATCCTCTTATAAGGATTTTATTTACAGCATTGTAATGCAGATTGTATAATTTTTTAAATTCATTACGATTTACAAATTTTATTTCTATAATGTTACATGGCTTGAGGAGGGCGGTATGCGGGACAGAGGCAATCTTGTAACAATTTTTAAGCACACATTTTGCATGGCTCTCATTCTCTCTCTCTTTTTTTGAATTGCTCTACTACTTAATGGAATGATTGTAATTCATTACGTTTTACAAATTTTATTTCTATAATGTTACATGGCTTGAGAAGGGCGATATGCGCGACAGAGGCAATCTTGTAACAATTTTTAAGCACACATTTTGCATGGCTCTCATTCTCTCTCTCTCTCTCTCTCTCTCTCTTTTGAATTGCTCTATTGCTTAATGGAATGATTTTAATTTTCCCAGAAGCATGGCTAAGGCCTGTAAAAAGGTGAACATTTACTCAAATTACACTGATGGCACCAACGGTAAATCATTTAATACTATCCATTCAAAAACGTTACATGTAAGTGTAAATGTATGGTTAGTAGAGTGGAACTATGCAACATGTAAAGGTTACATGTAGGTTTTATTAACAGTACGCATTTGGATAAAGCACCAACATTCATATGCCATGAGAAAATATGACATGCCGGGCAATGCGTAGAGCAACGAGGGAGTCATGATGCAAATGCATTTTTGGCTAACATTCAACGCAACGACATGATATCTGAACAGGACAAAAATTATTAAAAAATGTAAAATTTAAGTAAACTGAATGCATGCAAGGGAAAGGGATAGTGAATGTCAAACCCTTTTACATACATGGTCAAATTAAGAATATTTAAAAGACCTCCTCTCAGCATGTGGATAATTTAGATACTTTTCATAACGGTACAACAAATAATATCTAACTGGGATTTCAAGCTGACATATCATCTTCATTGTATGTTAGTAAACATATTTGTTATACCTTTAAAAATGTGTTCCTATATAAATCAATACTAATAAGGGTCCAACATTTCCAACGTTTTACTGAGCGGGCATAAAAAAATCGATGTTTAACCGCGGAGTGAGATATTGGACCTGCCGATGAGTTATTGGACCGCTATGACGTTTTTTACGTCACACTGTAGGCGGGATTAGCTATATCTTAATAATTGTCGCAAACATGAAAGCCAACGCAAGATATCTCGAAATGAAAAGTATAAAGTATAACCAAAAAAAAAAAAATTACTCAAAAGTCGGCAACATCATGACCGAATTAATATTTCCCGTAACCAGGGACTTATTAAACAATTGTTATACCTTTGAAAATTGATAATTTTTTTCCTGTATAAATATAATTCTTTAAAAAGTCTAACATTTCGGGGTTTTTTTCTGTGAGGGCAAAAAAATCGATTTTGGACCGCTGAGTGAGATATTAGGCCTGTCGATGAGATATCGGGCCGTTTTGACGTTTTTTACATCGCAATGTTAGCTGGATCAGATCGCAAACATGAAAGTCACCGCAAGATATGTCAAAATAAAAAAGTAATAGGTAAACATCTATTGAATGTGTTCTCGGGAAAAATGCGCTTTGTCGACCTCTTTCTGTCCACCTGTCTCCCTCTCCCGTCTCTCTCCAACCTCAATTTCTCTCTCTCAACCTCTATCTCTCTCTCCAACTATTCTATCTCCGCCCTCTCTCTCTCCACCCTCTCTCTCTCTCTCTCTTTAGTTTTTTCTTGTCCTTTTACCTCTTGCCTTGTGAAAAACACTATATATAACCATGATATATAGATGTTTTATAGTTTATTTACAATAAAAAATAATGGGGAAAATACTTATTCTAAAATAAAGAAAAAATTCTTATCGTTATTTTAAAAGAAATTATAAGATGTTTATTCTTGATCTTTTTACTTTAAAATAGATTAAGCAGAATTGTTTATTTATGCAAAAAATGAAAGTAATTTAGAATTATAAGGGCGATAACTTCACACAACAGAAAATACAACAAATGTAGTACTGCTTCCCAGTTCACAATTAGATTATTGCGAGGTTTGTTTGTGTATTAAATAAAGAAGAATTTTATATGTTTGAAGAACAATACTTTATACAATTATTGACTGGGTTCGAGGGCAACATGCGTTTTGTCGGACCCAAGAACCAAACTGTTTGCCTGAGGCCGTTAGGCTTTCATGTTTGGGATAATTATTAAGATATAGCTGATCCCGCCTACAGTGTGACGTAAAAAACGTCATAGCGGTCCAATATCTCATCGGCAGGTCCAATGTCTAACTTAGCGGTCAACATCGATTTTTTGGACCACTCAGTAAAGCATTGGAAATGTTAGACTTTTTAAGTATAGATTTATATAAGAAACATTTTTTACAGGTATAACAACTGCCTTTCATTTCCGTTTAAAGGAATACTTGGTATGGCTTGTCTCCGTGTAATCGACAAAAATAAATCCAAGTATAGTATGCGACTGGCATTAGTTAATATGAACTTTTTCGAACCTCAATTCTTCAATATAATGTATTTGTTTTCGTTCAACGACAAGATCACTTCATCATAATGAACGTTTTTGTGTCTGATTGCTTGTTTGTTTTAAAAATATGACATAATATTGACAGCACAATGCATCACTGCAGTTCTAAGCAATCAGCGCTCGATAAAAGTAACATTCTTTGTTCTTTCATAATTTTGAAGGACAAGAAAAGCTATCGGTATTCTTGTCATACGACATTTATCATACACCGTGGCCTTGTTCAGGCGCTTATAGATGATGTTTTTGAGAGAAACTGCTTTGCATATTTAAAATCCTGCATTTTATCACAATTAAAAGAATCTAGAAAGGTGACTTGTGTTATTAGGAGAGCTCAGCGTTGTTCGGTACTCATGTTTATTGGTTAAAGCTTAGCGTGGGACTTTAGCGAAGGAGACTGAAATAAAGATTCTCTGTGATAGAGTTCAAATTATCTTATAATTAGATAATTGTTTGCGGTTAGAAGGGAACGGCAACTGTTTATAAGGCTTAGGAAAATACCACGACTCCCCCTGGGAAATATGTATGTAAATTCACGACTTTAGGTGATCTATAGTTGTAGTACTGTGACATCACTGGAACCCCTCTTTCGTCTGTGATTGCTTAAATATTGTATTGTATAATTTCAGAAATATTTCTGTCGGATGGGTGTTACATATGAAAATGTCACATTGGATACTAAACCTGAACCATCCTTGGAGTATACGGTAGTAGCCGTGGCTCTGCCCCTACTTATATTCATTATCGGGCTTGCAGGTAATATACTGGTCATCATTGTAATTGTTAAAAGGAGGAGCCTCCAAACCCCCACTAATTGTTACCTCCTAAGTCTGTGTTTCGCCGACTGTATCCTCCTGCTCTCTTCGAACCTTCCAACCATTCCCGAACCCCTTCTTCCGGCAGAAGATTGGCCTTATGGATCCTTCATGTGCACGTTGTGTGTTTTTCTCGGCTATCTGGGGGCAAATGTTTCCTCGCTCTCCATAGGCGCCTTTACGGTGGAAAGATACATAGGGATATGTCATTCCTTGAAAGCTCAAACAATCTGCACGGTCAGCCGTGCGCGAAGGATACTTCTAGTGTTGTGGACCATTGCTGTGTTATATTGTTCTCCATGGCTTGCCTTGGCCAAAGTTGTTCCTACTTATCGGAACAGCACATTGGTCTACAGTTGTACCTATACATTAAAACGATACTACTATGGGATTTACTATGTTTTTGATTTCCTTGTATTCTATGTGGTGCCTCTTGGTCTATCCTCTGTGCTTTACTTTTTCATGATTAGATTGCTATTAAAGGATGGGGCTCCGAGGACAACCCAAGATCGATTCTTACGGCATAGAAGTAGAGGGGTGGTGGCCCGAATGCAGGTAAGGTTCCTTCTTTTAAACTCTCGTATATGGACATTACAGGAAATATTAGATCGCTTTAGATACTAGTTTTCAGAACGCTATTGTATTTTCTCGAAACGTTTATTGACAGAAACTCAGGGGGAAAAGATAATTAAAAAAAAAAAATCAAAAATTCGATTTTTACCAAGAGAGGCTGTTAACACATACAATATGACACTAACTGCATTTTGTGGATAGCAGAGCATCTTCCCCAAAAAGAATGGATAGCTGACAAACAATGAGATGCAAACATGAAGTTCCTTTGAATCACTTTTCTTAAGCAAAAGAGTTACTGATCAGTTATATACTGCAATGCTCAACCGCAGTGCCAGAAATCATTGTGGAAAAAGCATAATTGGTGGTTAGCTCTACACGAAGTTTAGGAGAATCACTGTTAACTTTCGATCAGAAATCTACCTTAATTTGTTAAGGTATTATATAAACAAATACAGATTCAGCAGTCTTCTACATGTAAAATTAATGGAGTATAGCGTATAAATCGACATTCATTCCTTCCCTTACAGAAATTGATTAACATTTTTATGTAGGATTTCTTTTAATTAATTTCTCATTTATCTATTTCCTTTTGAGGTTTCGTTAATACAAGATCCTCCGCTTAGTTTCCTGTAAAGCTGTAAATCAGAATGCAAAGGCTTCACTACTTTTGCATCAGAATATAAAAAAACCCTCAATCTAATCAGATCTGATGCTACCAAACATTATTATAAGATAAATCAACCTTTGTTTTAAAGTTAAAGTTGCCGAACTTATGAAATATTGCAACCCCATAATGACATACTTTGAGGTGATATACAATTTTCTTAATTAAAAAGGGGGGGGGGGAGCAAACGGTTAATTCAATGAATACATTGGAACCAAGAAGATGGAAAATATACAGATCTGATAACAACGAATATTAAACTGTTTGGGAAACTGCAGCCAGTATTACATTTCAATTATTCATTGACATCCCCCACACCTATTGGTCGATACCCCTGGAACACCTACGTCAGACAATATATCAAGCGCTGCGCTTCGTCTGTCTGATGAGTTTTGTCGCCGTCATTATCGTATTTCTTGTCTTCTTTCCTCATGCAGAGAGTCAGAAAATAGACACATGGTACACGGTGGCAATGAATGTTTTACAGATTATACCTTCAGTTTTTGGCAGTTTGCTTGTGATTCTGAATAGATTGCAATCCTTTGACATCATGCTGTCATTTTCGCCACTCCAGTCTTTCTTTTGCAGAATTTACTATAAAACCGTCCACTGTCCAGTGGTATTTTATTTTTGAAATTTAATATTTGGGTTACATGCACACAGTTAAAATTCAAAGACAATAACAAAACAAAATGTTTTACCAGATACATGTACATAATATTTAATGCAATAATTTGCATTTATATTAAATTATGATTGAATACTAAGTTATGTTCACCTGCACGAGACCAAAATTCATTCAAAAACTCCTACATGAATACAAGAAAACGACGACTGTTTATCAATTAACAATAGTTACTACCATTCATATATCGACTCGATATATCCCAGAGAACTTGAAATAAAAGACACAACATAGTCTGCCACATCTGTTTCATATTTGGATGTTTTACTGACTATAGACGATAAGGGCCAACTAACAACTAAATTGTATGACAAACGAGATGACTTCAGCTTTTAATTTCCAGCGTCAACTTTAATAATTTATGTAGTAATATACCTCTATCAACTGCATATGGTGTTTACGTCTACCACCTTATTCGATACTGAAGAGTATGCTCTGAGCAAGATCAATTTTTAAATCGAGGGAGGCTACTGATAGCTAAGTTTATGTTACAGGGATTTTAACAACCTCGTTTTAAGTCAGTATGTCATAAATTCTATGCTTGGTCATTTTAATGACCTTGTTAGTAAATATTACCTATCATTGGGTCATATATTAGCTGACGTGTTTCATACCATTTGTTAGGCCTTTGTTTATAAATACAAAATCTGACTACGGAATATTCCTTCTACCTGATTAATACATAGAGCTCACGGCGGATGTGACCGGTCGATAGAGGATGCTTTCTCCTCCTAGGTACCTGATCCCACGTCTGGAATATCGGGGGGTCCGTGTTTTATGCCCTGTTCACAGATTTGTATTATTTGTAATTTTTTAAGGTCGATCACTGTCTTTATTCATTTAAACAATCAAGGAAGATGGCAAGGTTCTCTTAAGGATTTTGTATCTTTTAATCATTGAAGTATATAATAAGAACAATTATTGCTGTTTTTAAAGTCAATAAGGCGATTAAGTTTCCCCTGAATTACAATATTCACCGAGCCAGAAAGGCAAAGTGGATATCATGGCATTGACCTAAAAAACAGCAATAAGTGTATAACACTGAATATCTATAAATAAAATATTTCAAGAGGTCTCAGGGTATTAACATGACATAGTGCAAGATTAGTCTAAATACGGAACATATTTTTGTGTCAACCCCTCCCTCCCCAATCCTGTTTGAAGTCATCATTTCGCATGTTTTATGGTCGATACAATGACCTTGTCAGCACATACAACCTATCATTGCGTCAAATGCTGACTGACGTTTTTCATACTAATTGTTAGGTAATTATTTATACACTGAACTGTCTACGAATTTTCCCCGTTTTTTCCGATCGGTGTGACCGGTCGGCAGGGGATGCTCACTCCTCCATGGCACCTGATCCCACCTCTAAACTTTGAGGTCCGTGTTGCTCTGCTCCAAATTTATATCGTTTCATTGGACTTTCGAGATTGAATACTTTTCGTTATCTTCATATTTCATACACTGTAATCAGTCTTAAATGATGGATACATAGGTTGGACAATAATTAATAGCAGAAAAACTGTATATCCCCTTCCTTTTAGGTGATAATCAGTTAGTTCACTGATATACTGAGGTGATTTGTAATTACTTTGGAATTTTGAAATTTATTAGAAATATTTAGTCTTTCTAAAGAATTTGAAAGTTTAAACATTATCAACATTTTAAAAAAAATATATTAGAAATTATATAGTTTCGACAAAGTGAAGAATAGTAAAGAAAACCTTTTTTTGGGGGGAGTACAGAAATCATAATGTTTGGTCAACGTATGAATATTAGAAAATTTCCCATCTTAGTTTACTCCAGTTGAACCTCATAGAACGTCGATTCAGTAGCATTCCTTAGAATACTTCGATTCCTTGCTAAAATAGCTAGCGATAAAAGTACTGTGATATTAGTGATTAACCCATCAAAAATATTATCATTTATCAACAAATGTCTTATCCAATTACCGTAAATAGTTCTATTTCCCCAAAAAGGTATTTCAAGAATTGAATTATTGTTATAAGAATTTAACTTTATTGCTTCATGTCTTTCCCCTCATGCATCGATATTTTAAGTTCTCTGGCCATTTTAAGAAACTTCAATCATTCAATTTTATTTAAATGACGCCTAGACTGCAAAACTGTTCATTAGATACTTCATGGCCATTTCAAATAGGAATACAATGTAGATTCAGGCAATCTTTTCCACTATCTTTTTTTTCCTGGTAATTTTTTTCTGATGCCCACAGTGCATAATGTATACAGGCAGGTGTCTCTAAATCTAATTTTCGTTCTTCACTTCAAACTACTTGTAGTTTTGTTTTTCTTTTCGTTTCTATAATTGATATTCCTTTCACCAAACTCAGCAGTCATACTTGAAGCAAACGAAGATTTTAATCATCATCTGGAACCTCATCTAATATTGGTAAATAAAAGTCGAGTAGATATAAGCTATTTTACAGCATTCTGTAATATTTTTCGATATAGACATGTCTCATTTAATGACTTGAAGAATATTATTTTTCTACAAGATACTGCTTTAAGGAATTATAACGGAAGAAAAAGCTATTGAACCATGAGATAAAATATGAGTACATAATATTTGTATGTTATTCGCCTTAATCATGTTGAAATATATTTTAGCTAGTCCATCATTGGAATCTTAACAATATTTCATTTAGATTGAAAATGTTGGCGTGTTTTTTATGGATAAGTTTGAAATATTGTTCGATGATAATAAAGAAATTATATCCATCTGTTGATGTTGATGTAAAATGCAGATAATTTTCGAGGTTGTAGGTCGATCGAAGTATTAGTACTTTCTGCAGCACCTTATAACCTTGTAAATTGTTGATTTACTTTCCCTACGTAAGCTTTGAAAAAATAAGTTATCTGCAGAGGAAGACTAATTATCCCGTGATTCAGGAACAGCAAGGGATTTAGATTCACAACAGATATTATCATTGGTATATCACGCAAATAGTTCAATATCCCATTTACACGCCGGAGAGACGATGCAAATATAAATGCCAAAAACTCTTCCGTATTGAAGAATGACAAATACATTTTTCCAAAAAAAACATTCCATTTCATTAAATCTCGAAGATGCTTTTACATTTGCTAAGTAACCATACCTGTACAAATACAAATTTTAAACATACAAAAGTTGACTATATAATCGGGTCTATCATGGGAAATACATAGATGCAATTCATGCAGAAATTTTATGACACCGTGAGTTCACGATTCCAGTAATTCATGATAAGTTCTGACGGAAGTGCTGTTTTAGTACTCTAACTATTTACAAAGGTGCCTTTTGACTAAACAAGGAACCATTTCCTTTCAGCAGTTGAATTATCATAAGGTCAACATTTCTTTAGCCTCTACAATTCTAGTGGAATGAGAAACAGTCTCTGAGATACCGATACATTTAAAATGAATTACATCATTTCATGCATTTAATTATTCTGTTTTCCTTTCATCCCATTAGCTTTTTAAGTGTTAAGACCTCTTAATTTGCATTCCTAACATCTTATCCAATTTGCATTGGCCTTTCGGTGTTTTCGACAACTTCATTTTCATGCTAATATTTTAATATTCAATTTGCATGCCAATTTGCCATTCTTACGTCTTGTACAGCCTTTC